GTTCAGTTCGCGCATACCACCTATGACGTCACTAGGAAAATAATGAATAAATAAAAAATAAAGAAATTTGACAGGAGATCTGCATTTTTTGTATTTTTTAGGGTTATTTTAGTTAAGAATTGTTTATTTTTTCTGACTTTTTAGTTAGTTTAATTTAACAATTACTAAAACCAGCAGTTCCAAAAATATATTTAAAAATAAAAGATAAAAATCCAAAAATATTAATTATTTATTAACATGGATTTGGACGGTAATAGGTAAGAATACTAAATTTATTTCTATATTCGGTATAAAATTGCTTATTAGGTTTTTAGTTTGCGATGTTTGTGAAATTTATTATAATTAGTAGAAGTAATTCCAAGGTGGAAGTTTATTATAATTAGTGACCTGTGCTTCTTTTTATATGTAGATGTTTTAGGTTATGAGAATAAATCGGTTGAACGAAACCCAAAATTTAGAGGAAGTACTTGCATACCCAGAATATGCCCATCAAGGATTATAGCTCAAATTTCCGTTAATGGTAGGCGATTATTCAATACAAATTAACTTTTTAAGTGACTGAAATATTAAATAGATTACAATATGGTATATCACTGTAAAAATATATTACTTTTAGGTACAATTAGGGCCCGATACATTTCAAAAAGTAGAATATTACTTTATATTAAATGAGGTATTGTACCAACAATCAATTTATATTAATACCGGAGATTAAAAAATAACAGAATAAATAGATCCTTTTTTATACTACAAAAATAAACTATAGAATTCAACAGTATTTAAAAAATTAAATAAAAAAGTTATGCCCCGGCCGAGATTCGAACTCCGGTCTTTCGCTTCCTAGCCTGACTCTTCTCTCACTGCTCCACAGTAACTTGCTTAGCGATAGTTCAATGACGGTATATAAACAAAAAAACAGGTTCATTACAATATCTTGACGATTTGAATTGGCGCGCGGAGCATGCTGACCAATAGCGCCTGTTATCACCTGTGACGTAGCGACCAACCTGCGCAATATCATACCTTGTTTTCTTTGTACCATGCGATGAGCTTATACAATGACTACATATAATGTCAAACAAATATGTCAAACAGATATGTCAAATATACATATATGTCAAACATATATGTCAAACCTAAAGGTGTCACAAAATATTGCTGGGTTGTGGCTTGTTTAAAATATGTAACAATTTATCAGCTCCGCATTACTACCAATATTAATTAGCCTTATTAAAATTTAATTAGTTATTAATGCGAATCCAACATTTCAATCATATTCGTTTGCCCTGGTCATTAAATCTCTAAAATGAATGCTGCAAAATAATTATTAAAAAATACGTTTTTATAGAAGATAATTCGACATTTTCCATAAATGTTTTCAGATCAATACAAAAAAGTATTATAGAGAAATTTCTGTAATTCAGTTAACTATTATTATGTTTGACGTTTTTCACGTTTTTTCGGAATATCTGATTACCAATTTAATGAGTATTTATTTGACATTTATTTGCCTATTATATATATTTTACTATAAAAGCTTTTTAGAGCAAAAAAGAATTTCAATCGTTTACTCCACACATCTACAAAACTATAAATAAAAATATATTTTTTTACCTTGCACTATTTTGCTGAGTTTATATTTGATTTAAAAAATCTATCTAAATTATACCAAAATATTTATATAAATTTATACATTTCTATTTTAAATATATTATGTTACATAAAGTTCATACCAAATAAACTTTTAGTCACGTGATTAAGCTTGACCGGCACAGCGTTGCCCACTTTTATATATTTTCTTTTAATCTAAATATTTTAAGAAACAAAAATAAATTAATTATAAATATATAAACAGTTATTATTTACATCAACAAAACTCACCTTCCTAACAGCACTTAAGGAACACAAAGGGACATTACTACCGCTTTCCCGTTCAAAATATTCTAATAAAGTTGCAATGCATTTTTTACAGCTATTGAGATATCTTGTACACTTCGCAATAAAAGAGGTTCTAAAAAGTACAATGTTCGATTGCAAGGTCTGCTAGTAAACAAGTTTTAAGCTTAAAGTATCACAACACTATTTATTTAAACTAAAAACTCATAAACCAATGACAATGTCAGGAAATAAATAAATTAATTCGGCAACTTGCCATTTATTACAGCAGAGCTACCACCTGAATCATTAGTAAGGATTGGATAATTTTTTTTTATGCAGCATTAAAAAGAGTAAATGGTATATTGTTTTATTGGGAGTAAAAATGACATACTATGTGGCGAGGATGTATGTTTGACATACAGGCGAGCCACAAGTCATTTTTACTCCGAATAGAACAGGCTATTTTTTTTAAACCGCCACAAATAATTTTTTAAACAATTTCATACTGTTACGTTTTTCGTCGGTTCCGTGTGGATAGAAAGTCACAATTTATTTAAACACAATTTATTTACACTAAGAAACAAACAATAACGATTAAAAGACTTAAAGGACTATTTATAACTTATTTATAATTTATCTAACTATTTATCTAAAAGGAATTTATATTAAATTTAGCGCGGCGATAGTAACTGTACGCGTCGCCTGGTTGTTTTTCTCCATCTTCTTCAGGCTTCAGGCGTTGGCTTATGAGTACGTTGGTATATGAGAGCAACAGACAATCCAGATTTGTCTCGACAATTCTTAGCCGCGTTCTTCGTCTCACCAGCTTCTTATTCGTTCTAGAACGTCGGCGTCGCCGGGCGTATGAGTCATAACCGAGTGGCCAGACCTAAGGCCGAGTTCACACGGATCTAGAGATGGGCGGTTATTGGTAAAAAACCGGTTATAGGTTAACCGGAATTATCTTTAAAAAATAATAACTTGACAAAATTAACCGACACAAATTAACCGGTTATTCAAATAACCTAACCTAGCAAAACCAGATATTTAGTTTTCCTATAGGTTTACTTACCTCTACACACCACAGGTCTACTTCAAATTTAGATAATAAACTTAGTTAAATCGCATGATTAAATAGAGATTGTAGCAATGTAAGTATGTATATGTACAAAATGAATTTAAATAAAAATGCTAACCTCACTTTTTTGAGTAGACATGGATATGATATTAAAACTAGTAATTACTTAACGTTCAAATAAACTACACAACTCACAAGTTCTACAATCTACAACCAAGTTATTTTAATCAAATACCAAAGAAAAATAAAGAGATTAAAATGAATAAATAATGAAAGATTATCTTCATTCATTACTTGAACTTCAATTTTGTATTCTTAGTCTAAGCTTCAAGAGAGACTTCAAACTACAAATAAAATATATTTACGGTGAAACGTGGGTGAAACTGGGCGAAACCATGGAAAACTTTTGAAGAACCGTTGAAAATCCGTTAAAGTTGGTTAAAATTTAAATATAGAATTTAGAGAATCTATTTGAAGTTAGGTTCGTATCACTTGGCTAGCTGGTGGCTAGTAGTAGTCTATGGCATTAGTACTTTGTTTTACGGCCTGACCTGTCAGGGCCATTCGGCCGTTGTTTTGATTATTATCAGGGTTCGCCTGATGCCTGATTTAATTTTGACATTTGATGTTTGATGTCATATATTTTCGTTTTGGGAGCGGGAGATGGGGGGGGGGATCTCCCGTTATCGTCAAAATATCGGGAAGATCCGTGCCGTTCGCTTCTTCGAAATTTACGATTCAAACAGCTAATATTTAATTGTTACTTGTTTTAAACCAGTACGATTTTTTTTAAAATAACCGGCTATAGGTTATTGAACGTAATGCAAGGTTATTAGGTTAACTGGTGAAAAAAAAACTACCTTTAAATAACCGGTTATTTTAGAGGAAAATACCGGTTATTCAAAAAACCGGTTACTTCTGCCCATCTCTACACGGATCCGCAACACTGCCTCCTCTAAGATACATGCTCGTCGCGAGATGTGCACGGTGAATGAAGGTAACGTGACATTTTTTATTGCAGAGCTGCCACCTGAATCCCCAGCGGGAAATTTAAATTCCACTTAGTCAGCACGGCACCGAATATGTCCATGGTTGGCAACAATTAATTTAAAAATCGCGCCCTCGATCACGTAACTAATAGTTTATTTGATATGAACCGTATGTGCATACGTGCAATTATTGGAAAAATAATAAATGAATAGTTTATTAACTTTAATTTATTCATTTACATTAAATTTGATGGTTTTTAATAAACAGGTGTGTTTGTTTTTTTTTTCAAAATGTATTTGCTTATTTTTTGATTGTATACAAAAATCAAAATATATTATTAAGCCTTATAGTTAATATGCCTTCATGCGATTCGTCGATCCTATTCGTTAAGCCCCATACTCACTATAACCCGATAGCAACTATACTATATGATGAGTCGATTTGATGCGTCAATGCGATGCATTGTGCGGTTCGGTTTAGCGAACCGCATCATACCCGCTATGCGTGCATTGACTCATCAACACATCAAGGCATAATGTGTATGAGGCTGTACGGACTTCTGTTTACGAAATATTAATTTATTTGAATTAAATAAATTATTTCCGTAAACAAATATTGTTTTGTTCTAACAAATTATAACAAAATAAATACATCAGAAGGATACAAATAAGTTTCTCAAAAAAATACAATTAAATATTTCTTTCGACATTATCATAGCTATATTTATTCACTTATTCTCATTTTTTTTTTCAAATTAAATTATTTGGTTGTTCAGTGTAAATTAAAAGAAACCGTTAAAATTGTCGGAACATATATTTAGTCCTAATTCCTAATTAAACTAATATGGTATGAATGAAAATATAACCAAATTAAAATTAAATTTATGAATCCTATCTATTTAAAGTATAATAAAATGCGCCTTTAAAAGAAAAACAATTTCCAAAACCGAATTTTTTAGAATTATTAATACGGCAAAGTAAAATTTCCCTTGAGATACTTATATTAAAGTGTATACTTAATCCCAACAAGTAATAAATGGGAAAGAATTCTTTACCTTGGGATAAACAATTTTCCACGGCTCCACATAATGATGTCACGGATCCGCTTTCTTCGTGGACGAATTTTCGAGTGACAGACTCTTCCATCACCTGTTTTACTTCCTTCTTTACAGTAGCTATGAGCCTTTCCTTGTAATCCTTCTCTGTAACAATAAATAAAAAATAAATTATACTGCAAAAGTACAAAGGAAAATGCAAGAAGAATAATTAGAAAAGATATTAAGAATATAAAAACCAATCTGTTTTGGCATACAGGTTGTGATTCTAGGATGTAGAGGTTCGATAAGAAGGGAAATTCCAGTTCCAAGGGGGTGAAACCACCCCTCAAATATTACAATATTTTTTATTTAAAAAATGGTCAAGTTTCCGAAAAAACGCTTAAACACGTATATTTTATTTTGTTTTTTTTTAATAATTTAATTTTTTTTTAAAAATGTATACAGGGTTTTTCGAAAAATCTGGTCATTGATTAATCACGATCCTGCTTAAAGCGCTTGACGTAAAAAGCTTATTTTTGGAAAACGGATTGACTTTAGGGTGTAGAGGTTCGATAAGAAAGGATTTTTCGAAACTAGAATTCTAAGGGGGTGAAACCACCCCTCAAATATTAGAATATTTTTTTATTTAAAAACCGGTGAGTTTTTCGGAAAAACTCTTAAACACGTATATTTTATTTTGTTATTTTACATCATTTAAGATTTTTAAAAATTTATACAGGGTGTATACAGGTTACCATTGAGTAATCACGATTCTGCTTAAACTGCTTGATGTTTAAAACTGATTTTTGGCAAACGGATTGACTGTGGGGTGTAGAGGTTCGATAAGGAGGGATTTCTCGAATCACAAATTCCAAGAGGGTGAAAACGCCCCTCAAATATTACAATATTTGTTATTTAAAAAACGGTTAGTCTTTCGGGAAAACGCTTGGACACGCATAATTTATTTTGTTTTTTTTTAAATCATACAGGGTGTTCCAAAAAGTTGGGTATTCTGCTTAATCTGCTTGACGTAAAAAGCTTATTTTTGTCAAACGGATTTTTCGAAAATCAAATTCCAACGAGATGAAACAACCCCTCAAATATTACCAAGTTATATAATAATATCGCCATATTGTTTTTTCTCATGCTGACATAAATGTGAGAAAATGTTATCCAGTTTGTATGTTAATGGAAATTCTTGCTTTGCTTTATCATCACCATTACAAATGATTAATTCGACGCGAACGAAGTCGCGCCGCAGGGTTGCCACAAGCTACACAATTGTGTATTTTGCTACACATTTGCTTCCATGACTGCACAGCTACACCACAATGGCCTGTGCTACACATTTTGAGAATTCACATATTTATTATAAAAAATAATACCAGAACAGTAAATCAGCTGACAAAAGCTGTTTTTTTTTGCGTTTAAGTTATCTAAGTTACATTAAAAGAGGCCTCAAGTGAACTTTAAATTTTGAACTGACAAATATCATTTTCGGTCATCTATTGGTCGAGTCAAAAACGGTAAAGAGACAGGATTGCTTAATTCCTTAAATAATACATAACACGTACTTTGGCCAAATTCAGAGGCCAAATTTCACTGTAGTTCGGTCCACTGATTGGCATACGTGAATAATATTCAATTCCTATTTCACTTTTCCTCCCATATCAGCAAGGACTGCAGTTTCTATGGACAAATTTGGCCGATTAAACAGTCCTGAATTGTTTACAGTTTTTAAACAGACTTTTTAACCGGTCTAATTTTTCCATAAAATCGTTAGTTTCACGACATCAATTTTGACGTCATTGCAATATTTGCTGGCATGAGAAGAAATGAAATGGGAAATGAATATATTGACGTATACAAACGAGTGGAACTGAGACTCTTATCGAGACTCGTAATTATGCTTTAAAATTTGGCGATTTTACGTCTTATTCTTGGTCTTATTGGATAGTTTACAATTATTTGTCATGGATTGCTACACAATGCTACACATTTTTATGGTCAAATTCTGCACATTCAAAAATTTTCTTGTGGCAACCCTGAGTCGCGGGTACATGGCGCTTTTAATTAGTATATGCGTAATTAGTATAATATGTTATATCCCAATAATGAACAACTTTTTCACACCTTTTTTTCAGTGCCTTAAAGTTCCCTCTGCTAGAGTAACTGCCCAACAGCTCACAGACAATTTTTTTCAATAACAGTGACATTACATAAATCATAAACACTATTGCATAAGTCTGTTGACTGGGACCAAAATCAAAGGCATGGTTTTAATGTTAAAATTACGAATAAATGTTAGCGTCTTCAAAAGCAAATACCTCCAAAAAAATAAAGCTATTGAGATCAACCACAAAATAAACTATCGAGAAATTAATGATGCAGCTAGATAAAATGATTTTCAAATTTCTTGTTTTTTTGACATACCCCACAGGTGGTATAATAATAATAATAATAATTAAATAAATAATTGGCTTTCATTTTTAATTTGGAAAGAGATACTAAAAAGTCAAATAATTCAGCTACAAATTGCTTAAAAGATTATCAAAATTGGTCCGCTAGAACACAATATACAGGGTGTTCCAATATTCTCTGGATACTACGTATTTTTGGTATCAAAATATGGGTGTTCCAATATTCTCTGGACTACTACGTATTTTTGGTATCAAAATATTTAAGTTCATTGGACACAATTTACATCTATGCAAAAGTGCTTCGTTTGTCCGTTATTCCGATTTGAATGAGATTTTGGGTATCTATATTTTGTAGAGAATGTAGAATGAGTAAGAGGGGGGTTAAACACTGCGACCTTAAAGATCTATTGTGCCCCCCTTCCTTGAGTCATCACACAATCTGTACACATCACACAATCATCACACAAAGTTGTAGAGGGGACAGGGTATTTCCCATCCTCCTCTGACAACAGTTCTTCCTCCGAGGGTACACACCCTTCCACGGTTGGAGTTTGGCCCTCCGTGCTGCTCTTCACAGTCGGGGAGCTAGCCTCCAGCTGAGGAACCCGTGAGGTGGAGACTGGAGGATCTGTCTCCATTTTCTCCACCTCTTTAACTTGGTCTCTCCTTAGACCTGATACCGGTGTTGTCCCGTATCTATAACAGAGGATATGTCCCTCTTTCTCTATTGCCTCCTTGGATTTGAGGTCAATTCCTATTGTGAGGACCTGACCATGACCCTCCTAAATTTTAGTATATTAGGTCCTTCTAGTATTTACTACATTTTTTGTCTCTTGTAAAAAAACGTCACAGCGCATAATTTTTGAGGAGAGAAAAAATGTTTTTTTGAAGCTCACTTCCAAAAAAATTTTTTGTCACATCAAGCTACTATGCTGACGCATAAAATCTATTATGCTCTAATAATCTAGTTAGCGAATATATGGAATTTTAAGTTAGTATCACAAATTATATTTGACAATAAGCTTCATAAAAAGCTTAAGAAATTAATAAATTTTAAATTAATTAACGTTCCAGTTTATTTTTGACTGATGCTATCTAACGGACAAACGAAGCACTTTTGTATAAAGGTAAATTATGTATGACCGTCTAAATAATTAATTCAATCGCTAGACAATGGTGCAATTTCTAAATTACAGTTTGGTATGAAAACAGAAAACAACTGTAATAAAAAATTATATTCGTTTTTAGGGTTTCGTACCCAAAGGGTAAAAACGGGAACCCTATTACTAAGACTTCGCTGTCAGTCCGTCTGTCACAAAGGTCTATCTTATGAACCGTTATAGCTAGACAGTTGAAATTTTTACAGATAATGTATCTATGTTGCCACTATAAGAGCAAATACTAAAAACAGAATTAAATAAATGTTTGTAAATAAAAAAGTACTTTCACTAAACATTATCTTTTAAGTAAGAATTTTACATAGAATCTTTCAAGTCCTCGGTGACCGCGTGGTTAAAGCGTTAGGACTTTACGCTGCTATGACGTTGGAGCCGTAGTAAGGCAGGTTCGAATCCTAGTCAAGGCGACTTTTTTTAATCGTTTTTTTTTAATTTTTACATATTTTTACTTATTTATATTTACTTTTTACATATTTATTATTTATTAATACAATTTTTAGTAATGTGTTTCTTCATTTTCTTTTTTTTAAATTACTTATATACGCGCATTCAAAGTTTAAGCTAAATCGGAAATAAAGTTTATAATAATATAATGTCTAATGTTGTATAGATAATGAATGGTACGGAACCCTACGTGCGCGAGTCCGACTCGCACTGACCAATTTTTTTTAACTATCAAACGTAAATCCCACTTGATTTTAAAGCTTTTTGACTGTAAGGTATGTTGCACAATACAATTGATGATGATGATATGGGGCATTGAATTGAAGAACATAAACCAAGTTTTATAACTTAACAATAAAAATATATATTTCTTTATGTGTGTAAATTTTCATGAACTGAGTGTGTTGTTATCGTCCTCATAAAAGGAAAATATTCCTTTTTATTATTATCGTATCCTATTATTGTTTTAACAAATTAAGAAGTAATTTCCATTAAAAATAAAATGTTACTTATTTGTGAGCTTATTAAAAGAAAGAGCTTTCCTCTTGCCAATATTTATTTCCGAACATATAGATACAGGGTGATCCGACGTGTTCCAAAGAAGCATTATATCATGTTTCCTATGTGAGATTTCCAGTCCAATCTTTCATAAGCCTATACAGGGTGTCCCAATATTCCGTGGACATAGAACAACTGCGTATTTATGGAATCTAAATAAGTCACAGTCATCAGTCACAATTTACCTCTATAGAAAAGTGTTTTGTTTGTCCGTTAGAGAACATCAAACATAATAAAAGTTTGCATTGGTATTACAAAAGGTATACATAGTTTAAGATACTTTAAGAACCGATATTCCGATTTGAATGAAATTTGCGGTGCCTATATTTTGCTAAGCGCTTTAACATTTGACTTTCACAAAAAATCAGAATACGGGACGGGTGAAAAGTACCCCCACCCCTATAAAAATTTTAGTAGAAATATTTTCGAATTCCAACTTTTTGCGTAAAATAATTATTTGTATTTACTACATATTTTTCCTCTTGTAACAAACGCCAAATTTTGTATCAAAAAGTTTTTGATAAAAAAAAATTGAATTTTTTAGACCTACAAAATATGCAAAAGGTTCTCATATTCCGTGGACATAGAAGAACTACGTATTTTTTGAATCAAGATAAGTTAATTGGCTACAATTTACCTCTTCGCAAAAGTGGTTTGTTTATCCGTTATAGGGCGTCAATCAAAATAAACCCCCCAACGTTAATTAACTTAAAATTTATGAAGCTAGTCAAATATATCATTTGGAATTTGTAATACTAAACTTCGGAAAAATATTATTTTCCAGAAAAAGTATGCGTAGTGGCGTTTTTTTTTATAAGAGACAAAAAAGCTAGTAAATACTAGATGAACCATTTTACGAAAAAAAAATCGGTTGTCGGTGGGGTTGGAAAATATTTATACTAAAATTTATGTAGGGGTGGGGTAGTTCTCACCCTTTCCGTACTTTTTCTTGAATTTTGTGAATGTCAAGCGTGTGCCAATTGTGAATGTCAAACCATGAAACACTTCGTTGAAACAGCAAAACACCCCAGGCACCTTATAGGCACCCATTAGCGTAACTAGCAATTTTTCCGGGGTGGGCCTGGGTTGGATCAGGGGTTGAGCCCAAGGGGGGCCTAGGGCTTTTGTTTTCTTAAAAATGAAAAATAATTAAAAAAAACACATTTTTTGAATAAAACGTTTACATGAATTTCTCTATCAATAAATTTCACAGACTTTGGTTATCAAACCGTGTTCCCGTAGATTACTTATATAAATACCTACAAATTTTCTAAAAAAAATAAAAATTAACACATTTTTTGAACACAACTAGAAAACGTCATTTTTACTGCATCACAACCAAATAAAAATTAATACATAGCCAAGAGTCATACTTTTTTCAAGAGTCATATACGGGATTTCTCTGGGGGGTACCCAGAAGTACCAGGGAGGGAGGCCCGGCACCCCCGGGCACCCCTGTAGTTACGCCAATAATAGTAAGCACCCCAAGTCTTATTCAAATCTGGATAACGGTTCTTAATATTTCTTAAAAAATTTGTTTATTTTTATAAAGATCTCTATGTCCCGGATTGTCTTTACAACAGAAAAAACATTTTTATTATTGAAATTTTGAGAAAAATGGATTCTTCATAAAAATGTTTGCTTGTTTAGCGAATTTGTATTACCTCCTGTTTCACCGAAAATGACTACAACTTTTGATGTTTAAATGACACTCTCGGTACTTTTTCGATAGAAAATGACACTTTGAATAGAATGACATATGATATGTCAACTTTAGACATTTTCACTTTAAAAAAAATCGTATTTTAAATTTCAATCTAGAGTCACCTGTGTTAAAATACTAATTTTTAATCAAGGAGCCTGGGAAAAATAGTTTTGATCGTCTAATGTTTTCGTGTCCTGGCCGGTTAAAAAATGCCCAAATCGTATTGTTATTACTTAATATCTCATTTTTTTTTCAAATGGAACAAGGATGGCTCATTAGCATATTTGGAAAAAGCATTTTTTAGGAATAATTTGGTACCACACACTTGATATTTCCTGTCATGTTGTCGTTATGATGCGGTTACAATTTGAAATAAACCATATGCGAAAATGTCAAAAGTTGACATGACATATCATATCTCATTCTATTCAGAGTGTCATTTTGTATCGAATAAAGTAGAAATATACAGAGGGTGCCATTTAAAAATCAATAATAAGATGTATTAGTCATTTCCCGTAAAATAGGGAGTGACCAAAAACAATTATTGAATACGTCAATTAATCCTAATTTATGTCATATACTAACATACCTAATTTCATTTTTTTATCTGAAAAAATAAAAAAGTTATAGGGGTGAGCCACTTTTGTGACGCACCCGGTATGTTTCTTTCAGCGAGATCTACCAGCACTGAAAAATTTGCACTTATTTAAAAATCACCCTGTGTAATGTTGTATATGTTCATTAACAAGTTGCTAAGATTAATGTTGTATTTATCTAATACACCTGCATTGTATTTATTTTTTTAAATGACTTATTATTTTATACAAAAGTAGTTAAATTTGTAATTAAAATTCATCAATTTCATATTTGATTTCTGATAGGTAAGTGTTTCGATACTTATTATGTCATCCTCGTATTATCTATAATCTACACACTAAATAAATGAATAAAGCTGTGCTATTTTTGTAAATAAATAACAGTTATCAAATTATGCAGGCAACATTTTTTATTTATATGACAATCACACTTACCGTCGGCTGACATGCTGAGACTGAAACTGCTCAATGAAAATACGGATATCATCAATTCTTTTCGATTCTTAACCAAGAAAAAACGAAAAGCTTTTACGATAGTTGTTTCCACCGCTCAATATCAAAATTATTTAAAAAAAAAAGTATTTTAGCGTTTAGCGACGTACAGAAATCGACGCCCAAATGTACGCGTTCGCGATATTCCGTTCTGCCACTCCGTCATAGTTTTTCTTTGGGCACGATCGAATCGCTGGCTGTTACTCCTGTCACAGCCGTTGCTGTAGCTGTCGGAGACCGGCCTGAATAAAAAAAACGGCGCCTAAAAACGTCTACCTTGAAAACTTGGGGGATCGATATCGAACGGGAGAGGGAGAATGAGCGAACGAGTGAAACAAAGAGGTGAAAACGGGGGAAAGGGGGGAGAAGGAAGCCGCGCAAGTCCGGGTGGAATCGCGCCGATAGGAGGATGTGTGTTTGGTTTGGAGGTTGTGGGGAAGGTGGAGATAGCAATTTAGTACGGGCGAATTGTTGGATAATTTAGTGTTTCTCTTTTCGAATCAATGTCATCGCTTTTTTCAATATACCTACCGCGTAACATAAAACTCCTTGATACAAAATTCGGTCATTGACTATATTTCATTAGATCAGATTCTTTTAAGGTACATTCAGACTGAGAGCGTCGAGCGTCGCGTCGCGTTTACGTCGCGTCCGCGTGTCGAAATGGAATCAATTCACTTTACTTAAGTTAGCCATTCAGGCAGACAGCGTCGCGTTTGGCGTTGCGCTAGCGTCCGCTGAGCGTCGGGGGTCGAGTTCAATGGGGCGGACGCGACGCGACGCTCAACGCTCTCAGCCTGAATGTACCTTTATGTTTTAGTCATGATACATTCTTTGTATCATGCGTTTTAGTCATACATATTTTCTTTTTATTTGAGTCTTTTTTTATTTAACAAAAACAGTACGAAAAGTTTATAATTATTACAATTAGGCTGTAACACAAAATCAAGGCCCGCTTCGATATAAAAGGTTTGTTCCAACCCGCCGCAGAACCGTCACCAAACGATCACGCTCGTGCGCAGTAATTCAAATGTGTTCCAACCGATATTTGACGGATATCGGATGATCCTATTTGCGTACTAACCTACCTTGGGATCGTTTAGTTACGATTTCAGAACGGTAATTTCGGTACATGGTCTAAATTGAGAAATGTTTGGGTTGACTTGCGCATTAAAGCATATTGGCAGGGATTATCGATTTTTAACAGCTAATTCTGGTCCGGCGTCCGGCTGATGCTTCTGTCTTGGTTATTTTTTACGAATTCGAATACGTGTGCGTTATACTTTTGCTTGGTAGTTTGTGTGGAGTAAATCGTTCGGAAATTTTAATTAATTTTTTATTTATAAAATAATGTTCAAAGATTCTACCACTGCAATGAAATAACAGGAAACTACGCATAATAGGATCATAAAAGAGAGGATAGGTAGATAAGTGAGTTAGTGAGTATAGAGTTGAAACGCTTACCAACAATTACTGGATTCTGATTCTCCATCTCAAGAATAATAATAATTATTATTGCTATTGCAAATTGCAAACAACAATAAAAGGGTTATGTTATGAAATTCTAAACAAAAACAAAAAACCGATCGATACACGCACGCTTGACACTTTTGACAGTCCCGAAAACCATCCAAAAAGCGTTCCAACGTTGATACCTTTTGCACCGTCACGAAACTATTCGAAGTCCGCGCATGCTAACAAAGTGCAAGAAAACCGATTCGAGTACGATTTCGAAACGATCCCGAAATGCTGGTTGGAACAAACAAACCTAAAGATAGAAAACCTAATATTTCTCTCATTCTTAGAAATAGTTACCCCTAACTTGATATCGTTGAAAAGGGTTAAACGCCAGCATTTTTTTAAGTTCATAGCCAACTATAATTACCATTTAAAAAATTATATTTTTTATTATTTCTAACAAAAAGAGCAAGCATAGAAAAAAAACTGACTACGCACTGGATTGTGCTTAAAAAAATGCCTTAAGAACGTTTTTACAGAATTTTATTATTCCGTAAAATAAAAAAGTTATGGGCAATTATCAAAATGGTAAAAAATTCAAAAAGATCCCGTATCTCAGTTGGCAGTGAAAATATCGACAGGCGGTTTACGCCATTGAACGTGTCTCAGAAACCGAGCCCATGACATCTATGTCGGTTTTGCTCTATCTAGTCAGGAAATAGGTTTTCTCTGTTAAAACAGACCAATTTCGACCACCCTGTACATAAGAAGGTAATTGTAAATACATGTACAGCACGGGATAAAAACTCTACATAACTACAAGAAGTACTAGGATGAAACACAATTTAGACATTTGCCAAATGTTTAAATTTACCAATGAGCTAAAAAATTGTAGTACCCAATAAAAAAAGCAACAATGATAATTTTACCGATTACCGATATCCAAAACTAGTCTTTAAACCTCAACTGGAATATTAAACAAATATGACGATATCAATGGATGGTAGAATGTAGAATCACTAGAAGGGGGATTAATCACCGCGACGTTAAAAATCTGTTGTGTCCCCTTTTCTTGAGTTATAACTCATCATACATGGGGATTTTCCTATTGTAGGGGGGACAGAGTCATATTTCCCATCCTCCTCTGACAACAACTCTTCATCCTCCGAGGAGCTTGTCTCCGGCTCAGGTACCCTTGAGCTGGAGGCTGGAGAATCTGTTTCCATTTTTTCCTCCTCTTTAACATGATCTGTCCTTAGACCTGATGCCGGTATTATCCCGGATCTATAATAGAGAAGATATCTGTCTTTCTCTATTGTCTCCTTAGATTTCAAACTCCTATTGAGGATGTATTCCGTTGCAAAACCAGGCGAACCAGACCGGTAAACTACGGTAAAGAGCATTTCCTGAAAAACATCCGTTTACCAAACCGTTCCGTTTGATACGGAACGGTTTGGTAAAATACTGGAAACGTCAAATATTGAAGTTTTCCAAATTTCTATACCTCTATTATAAAATGTATCTTTTATGCATTTTTTAATGTACCTATTCTCTGCTTTTACGTTTCTTCTTCTCAATGGAGCTTATATTGAAAAGTACTTTATTAATAAACTGATAAACTCTTTAGACAGCTCAAGTGAAGATTTGCAGGTCCAATATTGAAACAGACCAATAATAAATAAAGAAATCTAATCAATATTTATATTTTTATAACTTACAAAACATTCACGATTACTTGTCTCGTTTTTCATGTTTTCTTTAAATGTTACTGACTTTAAGAAACAATAGCCGAATGATAAGTTTAAATGGTCCTAAAAAGTCATTCTATTTAGTTAATGAAATTTATTTACCTTTACTGCCTACCTCCATTGCTTTTGGATGTAAATACAATATATTTTAACAAATTTTAAAAATTAAATGAGAATTTCACTCGAACTTCCAATATTTGATTGATATCTGTCACATAGATGACATGTTAGTTTGGTGACAGTTAAAACCGAAATTTTCAGGAACCGTGTTCCGTAATAAGAAAACTTTCAGGAAACCGATAGGAACGGAACATAAAACCATAACCAACGTAAACAAGGGAATACCGGGAATACACCCTTTTGTTAGTAGTATTTTACTGTCATTTTGACTGGACTAAAACTTTCGCTGAATATCGAATCCTATTTCCGCGCAGCACTGATAACAACGATTAACTGTTTTCTTTTTCAACTCAAGTTCCCGCCTATATTGTACCATACTTTCATAATTATTTAATTATATTTAATATACATGCGTACAGGGTGGGTAAATTGGTTAATTTTAAAGGAACACTCCCCTTTCTAAAGGAAATAGACGAAAACTAATATCGGCGTCTTAGTTCAATTTTCATCAAAAATATAATGGTAAAAACCGCACATCGATATACAGGTTCCGACAATAGTGCGTCGGGCAAATGTAGCTCCTAGAATAAAAATCTTGGAAATTTTGTTTTAGTACAAATCTAAAGTATGTACTAGGCTAGGATGTATTTCAGGAAAATATTTTAACTTCTATAGGGTGGCTCAAAAAAGTATGATATAAGGGATATTTTTTTTTAAATGGAACACCCTGTAATTATTGCATTTTTGGCTTCCTTTCAGATATCAATTTACATAATCCTAAGGAAGTATAAAAATGACTCAAAGTCTCGGTCTCAACGTTTATATTAAATTAAACAGTCACACATGTTTCGCTCATACGAGAATCATGAGACAAATACAATGAAAGTCAATCCACACACACGTTCACATTTTACATATTCTTTAAGAAGAATGGACGCCTTCTTTAAATAATCATAAGGTATGAGCAAATATATATTTCGATAGTTCCAGAGATATATTAATAAATAAATAAAAAATTATTAAGGAATACAAGAACTATCCTGAAATCAAAACTATATTATATAGGTATTTACTTCAGTTGATCTATACTTAACTTTGGTACAAATATTAGTGTTTAATTATCAAATTCTACGCCAAACTTTCTAAAATAATTTTTCTTCGTATTTTTAAATGGAACACCCTGTATATTATTTTTTTTAGAAGCAATTAAAAAATGAACATTTTTTGTATTTGCGAGTATTTAAAAATTATTAACGGTTTCGCAGATACCAGCGAGATTATTTCATATGGCCCTTTCAACGGTAAAATACGAGAGAAAAATTGGGTGGCTTCCCAAGGATTTTTCGATTCGGGAGGAACATCCTGTATTTAATTATAATTTTTCTTATATTTAAGATTACAATATTTATATCAAAGTCATCATCATCATCACTTAGCGTATACCGTTCACTGCTGAACAAAAGCCTCCCTTAACTCTAGCCATTCCTTCCTTTATTTTGTGCCACTTGAATCCAGTTTCCAGCCACCCTATTTTAGTATCATCTGTCCATCGACTAGGAGGTCTTCCTCTGCTTCTATAGACCTCGTGTCTCGGTCTCCATTCCACGAGTCTCTTTGTCCACCGTCCATCTGTCATCCTAGCCACATGTCCTGCCCAATTTCCAAAAAATTATATCAAAGTAAGTACAATTAAACCATATAAAGTACATACTTAATATTGTTCGGCGCCCTTCGGCGTCGTGTCCCAAGCTTCCCTTCTCACAAAATAAAATACCACTTTAGCACTTATATCAAAAATAACTATTTGATTTCAGGACAGCTTCTTTTAGTTAGTTTCAGTATTTTTAATATTTTTTTTTGAAGGGCTGAAAAAATATATATTTTTATTTGTTTAATATTACTAAATAATTCTTTATTTGTTAATATCTCTGAAACTATCGAAATATATTTACGCATATCTTAGGATTATGGTAAAGTG